GCACCGATTGAAGGACGGAAAGTGCACCGCCTTCATGAGGAAGTCCGCCGGCAGCTCGGTGTCTGGGATGTGCTGTAGTGCAAGCTTCTTGTGCTGCACCATTTACTATAGCCAAACGTAGTTTCTCTCCATTTGCTTGAGGTTCCTTTCAGCCCCAAGCCCTCAGTGACCATGATGGCCGACTGGTTGTCCACGTTTATGACACTCCACGTCCCAGCGTCAAGCAGTTGGAACTTGGCAAAGAGGAAGCGAAAGCGACGAGCCTCCTTGCCGAATTCAGTGGTCGCGATGTAATCCGACTCTGCTGAGGACAAACTCACACACTTCATGCAGTGCCTCATCCAAGAGAGAGTAGCACCGCTGAAGGCGGGAACATTGTCGTTAGTGCTACTACGTGTCTATGTATCGCCCGCGTCTTCGGCATCAACGTATCCAACTACACACAGCGACTCAGGTCCACTGTCATACTCTAGAGCGGCGTCATGGGTGTCGGCGAGGTAGGAGAGGTTGCGGTCGACCTCGCTCCAGTGCTGGTCAATCCTCACCGTCAAGCCGGTCCCCAACTTGATGCACGCGAATGCAATGTCCGGCCTTGTCGTGGTGGCTGCGAACTGCAGCTATGAGACGTTCTTCCTGTAATCTTCTTCTTCTCACGACTGGAATTCCTCATCGTCAAACATTAGGCTCGCTTGGTCTGCTCTTCATCCATAAAGCGCCTACGCACCTTGTCGACATTTGACTGCATGTGGAGCCACAAATTTCACACATGCCGGTCGCGCAAGATCTCCAACTCAAGGTACTTCTCAAGTGGGCTGATCTCGCGCAACTCAAAGGCAGTCTCCAGTAGCTCATGCAACTCGTTCAGCATCGCTAGGTTGCTGCTACGGGCGAGAAGGTCGTCATTATCGATGAGCACCCAGCATGCCACTTCGCTGTTGCCGACCTTGAAATAAAGAGCCTCGTCGACCTGGCCCTTGTTCCGGCCGACGCCGGCTAGCACAACATCGGGCACCGAGTACCACATTAGGGGCGACCGCTTGAAGTCGTAAAAGCTCTTCAGCAGCTTGCACACGCGACTAGTCTCGTCGTTGTAGTAACCGCAGTTGGCTTCCCGGTCATTGTCTGACTTGTTGTAGTCGGGGTAGTCGTACGAGAGATGGTTGCGAGCATCGCAGATGTAACATCGACGTCCTTCTCGACGCGAGCCACTGTCACTACGATCCCTTTCCTTAGCTGACTTCCCACGTTCAGTGTTTTCCGCCGACTTCATGTTCGACGACGTCCTGCCACCGCCTCCACCCGACTTCCCACATTGCCCATCTTGACGTCCCTTTTGTGTGTGTTTTTTTTTATTTTTCCGGCAATGCAAGATACACTATAGCAGTGCATACAAGCATTAACAGTTGTAACTGTAGCCGATGGGCCTAGATAGCAACCAACCATCATACCCATCCTGACACCCTATGGGGGACGGAAAATTGTGCGCGGGTTAGCCCAGATGGAGGTGAAACCACTGGTCCACGCAAGCGATTTAGCCGAGCTATCACAAATCCTGCTGAGAAGTCAAAACTCATCCGGATCCAACTGCTCTAAGAAAGGACGCTGCCCTGGCCCCAGCATAAAACCTGCCTGCTTGTTTCCTATCTTGACCCGAAGATGAAGCCTCGCATGAGTGTAGAAGGCTGCCGCAATCTTACGCAACACCCTTCTGGACCGGAACTGACCCCTCTCAAAAGCAGCATCACACCTCTCCACCCAGATCTTGTGCAACGCGATAGTGGTGAGTGTTGACTCTGGGAAGCCCGACCCCGAGCCCTCTTTTTGATAAAGAAGATCTCCCAACGACTTGAACGTTGTTGGGGAGATCTTGTGGCAATGCAGCTTGAGCATAACATCCGTTGTAGTCTAGTCGGTTAGGATACTCGGCTCTCACAAATCTTGCCGTCCCTGCTTTGACGGGGCGACGTAGTTGGCTTGCAATGGAAGCTCAGTGGGTAACTCGGACTCTTGCATAAATTCATCGTAACTGATGAAGCTGGCTAAGCAATCCGTGTTGAGCTGCGAGTGCATGCCGGGCAGTGACATCATCCGGCACATCAGATTGTAGCCCGACAACAGGCCCTTGACGGCGTCCAAAATATAGGATGCCAGCGAGTACTTGACACCAACCATCCACAAGTCGGCCAGAATTTGTCGAGCACGATTGCAATACTTCGTCGCTGACTTATGCTCGCCCATCCGAATGTTGGTCAGACGCTGCTCAAGCTAGCTGATGCACAGGTCGTCGGTCGCTGTGTATGTTCTCATGATGAAATGCCATGCTTGGTAGCCATCGTCCACACGCAGTCGACAAGGTTTCAGTGCGACCTGCACCATTGGCTAGCAGCACCGCGAGATGACCATGAATGTCAGCAAATGAGCAGTGCGAAATTCTGCTCGGAGCTTGATGTCGGCCTCGTCCGGCGTTTCCACGTCGCCCTCGACGAACGATTTCAGTCCCGCAATCTCCAATTGTGGCTCAATTGACGCCGACCAAATGATGAGGTCTCGACCTTCGAGTGGGTGCGGCACCACGATCTTATCCGACAAGTACTTTAAGTATCCATATGCCAGCATTATGCCTCCATCTTGACCAGCTGACACATGCGTCGATGAGCCCGTCCTGACTCCACTCTGCTGTGGAGAACGACATCGACCGTCGACATCTCCGTGCGAGCTGCATGTAGACGCTGTTGACCACTATTATTGCCCTTGCATTCCGCCGATACCTGATGTCGATTGGTCGAATCACTCAACGATTCACCCTCGTGCCTCTGTCGCCGACTTCGTTGCAGTCGTCGACTTCGTTGCACACGGGTCGAGGAGAGGCGAACACACCATCTACTTCAACACAGGAAGGAGAATGCTCATGGGACCACTGTACATGGGTTGCTAAGAGCAGCGACGCACTGCCGTATTCGCTAGCATCGTGGCGTCTTCAAACACCAGCCTCCCGTACTGCCAGGGTATCCTCTACACTTGCGACTTCTCCCAGGGTGACCTATATGGTATACATGGATGCCGGCCTAACAACGACCTAGGTAAGGCGCATCTACGTCGATCACTATCTGAAGGTATATCGCGGGGCTGTCCACACTCACCGCACCATACAGAGAGTCACTCTACACAGGGGTAGCTGAACTACGTGGGAAGGCATGGGTGGTAGGAATGATTTTAGCTTTGCGTGTGTACTCTCTGCTTGCACAATCACAGGGTATATTGGCAAGATTTTCACTACCAAAATTTGGGTCCACAATCAGGCAATGGCAATGGCAAAGTGACTACATCTCGAACCTAGTAGCCTAGCAACTAGGCAGGTCGACCTCTAGCATAGCTCGGAAGCGGCTTGCTAGCATAGCAAGTCGACGTCATGCCATCGGAGCTGGGAGGCGGTTTGCCAACACTTCAGGTCAACAACCTGCCAGCGCTGCACCACGGCAGCTTGCCAACGCTGCAGCAAGGCGACTTGCCATCGTTGCAGTTGTAGGTGACTATAGCGCACATATGAACCCACTTTGCAGGTGCTGATGGGCGATCGAGCACGTTGTGCCTCGTTCCGCGTATAGCGCAGGAGCCAAGTCAATCATGTGCTAACAGTTGCGCCTGATGCACCACGTCGATCACGTGATGCTGCACGTCGGTTTACTTCGCCCAACCTCCCTCCGCGGAACTCGTAGACCTTCCAATTTTTGCACTCGAGCAACTTCAGTCGACCAACTCGCCGTTGACCTGTCGAATGGACCGTGTGAACCAGTGCTCCTCGACGGACTCGTTAACCAACGCCTCTCAGCGAGCTCGTCGACCACTGTCACTAATCGGCGACTTCCGTCCACGTCCTCGATTGCATCCTGTCGAGAAGGGCCTGGTCGACTATTAAAGGCCCACTCGACGACCACTTCGTCGGGTTCTTCTCGTCGATAGGGAGATCGGCCGCGCCCAAGCGCAAGTGGGGCCTTTCTCTTCGACATCTCTGCTATATCTAGTGACCACCAGTAACCCAGACTCACTATGTGAATCGGTTGTAGCTCTTTGTTCTCCCTCTCCAATGCTGCCTGGCCACAGGCTTCACACTCCCCCACTTAATTTTTGACCTGCCTCAAGCCAGTTCACTATCAGCCCGTTTAAACCAGCTGGTCTGTCCTAAGTGGCCAAAAGTGTCCCAGCTTCATGTGCACTTCCTTGATAATGCCTTCTCGTTTTGCCGGCGCTAGCACATGCTTTCATCCTTCCGCTGTACGGAGCTGCACTTGACCTCAAAACCAGCAGTAGTGCTTGCCTCGCGCCCCAGCTCTGGCTTAGACAGTCCCCTCTTCCACTGTTGCCTCCTTGATCCAGAATGGCACTTCCAAGTTCTCCCATATATCTGACGACCCTCCCTTGTTTTCACCCCACTCCCTCTCTTGGTCCGCTCGCTTCGCAATCACCATCCATGTGCGGCATGGTCTTCCCCCAGCGATGCCTCATCTCAAAATTATACTCCTGCAGCTTCATCGTCCACCATGCGTTGCGGCTGCCTGGTCTGGAGTCTGCGTCAGCAACAGCAATGGGTGATGGTCCATGATTAGCAAGAACTTCCTCCCGTTCAAGTACACCCTGGAATGAATCTTCCCAGACCACCGCCAGCCCCTCCCCGTTGTATGATGAGCATTTCACCTCGGCCGAGTTGCAGCTCCGGTTCGCAAAGGTTTCTACTTTCTCCACTCCCCCGTTCATCTAAGCCAGCACTGCTCCAATCCCTACACGCACGCGTGTGTATCTGTGTCAGTGTGTGCGTATATCTGTGTATGTGCCTGTGTATCTGAGCCTGTGTATGCTTTTTCCATGGGAAATTTCATGTCGTCGATCCTCAACCAATATGCGCCAGTGCCATCCTTTGGATGTGTATTCGCTAAAAACTGTTTTTCTAATACTGTTGCATTCATCTTAGGTGTGCTTCTTATGCAGCAAGTATTGGAGGTTGTATGGATTCTCTTTTTATCGCGGAGGGAAGGGAGAGGAAGGGGGTGGGGGGGGAAGTGGTTCGTGTTGAGATGTGCCGGTCAGGTCAGGTCGCATGCGCCTGACCCCGTTGACTTGCAGTCGCTTGATGCTATTTTCTCAGGCAGGAATCGGACCCCCCTCATATTCGTTCGTGTTCATGGTTCACTTTCATATGCTGCCCCAGCGGGCCACGCTAATTGGCGGGAAAAGGGCATTGGCTCACGTCCAATCCGCCTGGTACCGTACGCACTCACCAGAGGCAAGGCACTTTTTTCTGAAGTCGAGAATCGATCGCTCGTCGTGTTTGCTGACCGACATCGCAGACCTTAGTGACAGCTGCACCCCCCGCCGTTTTCCCAACCCAAGGTCTGTTAGAAATGACGTAACGCGGGTTATTGTGACGGCTACCCTCGAAACAGTTCTGACATTTGGGGCGCCGCGCAAATGTCACCGTCACCAGCATGGGATTGGATCGGACGGTTCGGCTGTTCTCACAGGTACATTTGCTTGGCAGATCAAACTCAGCCTTGGAATCGCACTGCGCGGCGCGCCTTTCAGACGTGCGCCAAATCAGGCGGGAACCTCACGTCCCAATCAACCCCGATGATATTGGTGATTGGGGCAAGGGGTCGAACTGGGACGAAGCTCGAGAAGCCGTAAAAATTAAGTTATCAACCACTGAGTAAGGCTTTATGCGACTCGTACACAGCATTGCTGTATGCACTCAGGTTCAAAGCAGCTTTTCGCCTGTTGAAAGTCCGATTTTTTTACATTGTCGCCCGTTCCGTGCTCTCACGTTTCCGTCCGCCATACGTATTCTCTCGAGTCGGAACTAGTATTTATAAAGCTACTGCGTAGGCACCTAAAGCCATCAACTATTAGTGCATCTCCACGTTTAACAGCGCGGCAACCATTGCATCGGCGTCCCGAACAAGTTAGGCTCCAAGAACGCGTTCTAGAAGGCTCCGGATCGATCGTTCGGTGTTACATTGCCAGATATATTTCGTTCACCTCCGCTCTTCTTCACCAACTCATCCCACAGGGTACGGCTCCGGACCACTTCTCCCCTCTTCTTACGACCTCTCTAGCTCTTCGTTTCTGTCTAGGCAAAATTTGGCCTCTAACATTCCTGTCTCCTTGAAAGTTTGGTCCACGTCGGGACATGTTGACCCAAGGCGACTTCGAAACTCTGAGACGACCTCGGCAGCATTCTCCCACCGGCCGTTCTTACCGCGCTCTACCTCACTTCATCCCCTCCAATCTCCCCCATCCTTCTCGAGCCCTCTCCAACACGACAAAACTTGTCGCAGCAGGAGCAGAAGTGCAAAATACTCCTCCCCCTCCTTTCCCCACTCTTCCTTTTCCACCCACCCCTTTACCCACGCCAGGACCATTTCACAGCGGAAACAGCAGCATTGCGTCGCGTTGCGCCGTAGCATTTGCGTCGGCGACTCGGGTCCGAGCGTTACAATATCCAAGCGTTGCGCCGTATATCGCAGGTACTGCGAACTACGTTACTGGTCTACGTTAGAGTCAGCTTTGTTTAATACTTTATCATAGGCACAGCGAACCATGCGGTCAGGATTGACAACTACCTCCGCCTCATTACCTCTCGTCCACCCCTACCCTTTGCTTCCTCCTTAATCCCCATCCTCGTCGCGACCTCGTCGCAAGCTTGTTCGATCGTCGTCGCACCCTCGTCTCATCCTCCTCTGACCCTTTGCCCCTTCCTTCTCCCATCCTCCTCCCATCCCCGTCACGACGACGGCGGCATGATCTGTGGCCAGCTAACAGAGTCCCATGATCTCGGCTAGCCGAGGCTGAGAGCCACAGAGGCTCGTCTAGCCGAAACTGACAGCCACAGAGGCTCGGCTAGCCGAGGCTGAGAGCCACAAAAACTCGGCTAGCCGAGGATGGGAGTCACAGCGGCTCGGCTGGTTCACTTATGCCTCTCACACACATGCCTTCACCCCCTCCCATCCCCAGCAGATCCTCACGCACGAAATCGCACGCAGCAACGGCACTCGGCATATTTTGCACGAAGCTTCCGAACCGCCCGCTCGGTAGGATCATTATGAAGCTTCCTCGACCCGCTCTCCTCCTACTGCTCCTCCTCGTCTCCGTCGCACTACTACCGCTCTTCGCCTCCTCGCGCACTCTTCCGCCTAAGCAGCAGCCCACAGGTGGGGAGATTCCGCCAGCTAAGGGGGGAAACACCACCACCCCCCCCCGCCATCGGCGCCATGGGGCGAACGGGACGGCAGCGGCGGGGAACCGAACGAAGGGCGGGCATCCGAACAAGGGTCACCATCGCGGGAACGGCACTGCGGCGGGGGGACCTTCGCCAAAGCCGCCAACGAACGGAAACGTGAAGAATGGAAATGCGCCGAGTGGTCAGAAGAACGGTGGCGCGCAGCCGAACAAGAATGGCGGCGGAGGCGGTGGCGCGCAGACGAACAAGAACGGTGGCGCGCAGACGAACAAGAACGGTGGCGCGCAGACGAACAAGAACGGTGGCGCGCAGACGAACAAGAACGGTGGCGCGCAGACGAACAAGAACGGTGGCGCGCAGACGAACAAGAACGGTGGCGCCCAGACGAGTAAGAACGGTGGCGGCGGCGGCGGCGGCGCCAATAAGCCGCGTCGACCGAAGCAAATTGCTGAGGAGGACTGTAGCAGGTGGGGTTGCATATTTTTTTCTTTCTTTCTTTTTTTGGAATGCTTATGAATCTATTTTTTTGATCGAAAAGCTGTTGCATCAAGGGTGATATCGTGTTATGGCCTAGTTCTCAGACCTACCTTCCCATTCCTGTAATTGTTAAACTTCAAGCTTCTTTCCGACCCTTCCCATTATCCCCTCTTCTCCTCTTCTGTCCCCTCCTCCCATGCACTTCCCCCTCACCCCTCCTCCTGCCACCTCTCCCTCTCTCCCGCCATCTCTCCCTCTCTCGCATCGCCCCCCTCCTCCCCTCATTTCTTCCCTTCCAACGCATTCCCACTTTTTCCCCTTTCCATGAACTGCCTTCCTATCTCTTACCGCTCCCTACTCAAACCATATTTCCAACATCTTCCCGTTTTTTGCCCATAACAGCAAAACATCGTGGCCAGAAGTGGTTGGCATGACGGGCGAAAAGGCTCGCGATTACATCTTGACATCCATGCCAGAGTGTAACTGGGACGTGCGAATTATACCGAATAGGGGATTCGCCACAATGGATTATCGCACAAACCGTGTTCGTATCTTTGTCGATAAGGATGGCATCGTTCGCGTTCCTCCAAGAATCGGCTAACTGTGTTGTAACGGTCTCTACAATACTGCATGTTACGCGGACAGCAAACAGATTAGGCTTCAGATATCTCCCTGGTCTGGAGGTCAGAGGATATCACAGTGTAGGCAAGCTCCAATAGCACACTGCCACGTGTTCTGACTCAGTGGTAGTTCGATTAGAACGCACCATTTGTATAGAGGCGCTTATGTATCTTTCTTGACCAGGGTCCAACATAGTGACCCTATCAGGGGTAAATTGTTGTGCTAGCCTAATGTTATAGACTTGCAATATATTATTACCCTGATACAAGTAGTGTTCTGATCTGAATCTCCTGGTCATGAGTGGACAGGGTGTCCTGACAATCAACCTTGTGGGAATTAGAACCTCAACCCAGAACTCTTATGTGGTCAGAGTGAGGCCAGAGTGACTCAGCCCTTTCAGGTACCGTAGTCCGACTTTCACAAACTTTCTAGTAAGGAGAAGAAGGACGCGTCACCTCCCTTGATCGATCGCAGGATCGCCAGGAAAAACCGATCGGGCACACCGATCGCAGGATTGGGGCACGATTGGTGGGAGGTGACAGCTGAACATCGATCGCAGGTTGGTTTCGAGCCCTGGGTGACGCGTTCGGTATTGCGACAGGGGACATGGTTGGGCGAAAATATGCAGCACCGTCGTCTGAATGGTTTGCGATAAAAAACATGAGACGATACAGGTAACCCTGCAAACTGTGCGACGGCGATCGATCTTGCCTGTCACTTTGAGCGCGAGCTTGGAGCTCACGCAAAATCGGTGTGTGTATGATGATGCAACAATCGCGATTGGGGGGAGGTGACAAGATCGTGGTGCACCCGTTACTGGGCGTTCGTTAACTGTCTCGAAAAAGGGTATGTTAACTGCGATGCTACAAATTAACTGTAGCATGCCAAACATCGATCCTACGCAGGTTCGATCGAGGGAGGTGACGCGTCCTAAATACCACTCTCGCTATTCCTGATGTACACTATGTCGCGAAAAATTCGGCTTGCCAAGGTCCAAGGGTGGAGCTTTCGGTACCTATCACCCTGAAATTTGATTCGCTTGCTTGGCTGGCGTAGGCCCGGCGCAGCTGAGGTGCGGGAATCACGAACACCAAGCTCGGGCGAGGTTTGGTGGGCACTGCTCTGCTCTTGGCGTGGCTGTGTGAGGAACGGGCTTCCAGCACTAGCGCAATGTCGAAAACATCCCAGACTGCGCCTGCTAGGTCCGACCGATAATATGGACCTGCTTCTGTGGCACAGCACAGAATGCTTTCATTTCAGCCTGATCAGTAGCATAGAGCCTGACTCGACTATCTCATCCCTGTCAAGCGATTTCATACTTACTACTCGCTTTGGAATCTCCAGTATCTTGATTAGCCGTCCATGGATTCGTCGTGCGGTCTTCCCCAGCGTAGGAGTGCGGCTGTGTATGTCGACAGAGAATGTGACATGATAGATCTGTTTGAAACTCATCAGACGGCTTTTCAACCTTCCATCGATTCATAAGCTCCCACATCTTCTGCTTTTCGCGAGCGTTGAAGCGCTGCCATTTATGTCGACAGAGAATCTGACTCTTCCCCGAGCAGCAAACCAGTGCCGTCTGCTTGATCATCACCGCACTAAAACTGACAACGGACGCGGGTGAACTTTTATTGAATATGAACGTCCACGAAGATTCTCACTGGATCTGCCTGCTGCGACGTCCGACAACCAGCGACGAATCCAGCGACAATTCTATCTCCTGCTGTTGCATAGCATTCTCTCAACGTATCTTCCGAATAGGTAGCAGCTAGCCGATACGCGATCTTTCTTCCCTTTCTTCCGGAACGCGCTCGAGATTGAAGAAGTGTTTTGAGACGTCTCAAAACACTTCTTCAATAGGTAGCAGCTAGCTGATACGCGATCGTTCTTCCCTTTCTTCCGGAACGCGCTCCAAGACCATGACGCTCATTGTTGGGTCGACGACTTTTTTGATTATACCTTGTCAAGTTCGGAAAGAAGGTCAAGAGGTGCAAGCCTACGACCATATCTGAGCCTGCTCCCTTTGTCAGCAGCCTGGTTACGAAACAAGACAACGGGAGAGGATTCAATGTGAAGGGCTGTCGCTGGAGAAGTAATCCACGGCATTTGTTGACAAGGAGAGCTCTAGATGGCATTTTGAGCATTGTCTTGAAAACTCAAATCGCTAATACGTAGGACTCCTACGGCAGCACATGCGCACAGGCAGATGCTTAAGCGGAGCTGCCGGTGCATGTGGGCAAGCCTTGTTGGGACGAGGACGACGCAGCAGCAGCAGGTGCGCGCTAGAAGCTTATGAGCACGCAGGTGCGCGCTAGAAGCATCCGTGGCAGCAGCAGGTCCGCACCAGAAGCTTACGAACGCGCAGGTGCGCGCAGCATCATTCGCGGCAGCAGCAAGAAATTTATGAGCGCGCAGGTGCGCGGAGCATCATTCGTCGCACCAGCAAGAAATCTATGTGCGCGCAAGCTAGCAGATCGCAGAAACAGTCGCGTTCAGAGCATCGGCAGCGGCGGCATGTGCGCGTGAAGCATCGTGCAGCAGCAGGCGCGTTCTCAAGAACAGCAGCAGCAGGATCCTTTGCAGGATTGACAGCAGCTGGTGCATTCGCAGCGTTGGCAGCTGCACATGCTTTCAGAACCCTACCCATCAAGTCAAATCTTTTCTATCGGTCTTTCTTTGCCGTCCCACATCTCTCAAATCTCATTCCAAGTCATATATTTTGCACTTTCCCAGCATGGCCACTCACACCAGCGATCTCGAGGCCCTCGCCCGCTCCCTGCATCCCGTCGCCAGTGCTCATCTCGGCCGTCCATTCCGCAGAAGCAGCAATCTCGGCCGTTTCTGAACCTGCGCTGGCACGGGGGTCATCTCGCACGCTCTCGTCTGCTTCACGCCCTTCCGAAGCTTCAACTTTGTCAAACCCTTCCATAGCAGCCGCCGATTCGATCTCGCCCCTCCCTCAATCTCACTCCCCTCACTCCCTCTCACCTCACTCCCACTCTCCTCACCCCTCCCCTCACTCCCTCCCCCCGCACTCCTCCCCTCACTCCTCCCCACACTCCTTCCCTCACTCTTCCCCTCGTTCCTCCCCTCACTCCTCCCCTCACTCCCTCTCCCCTCACTCCTCCCCTCACTCCCTCTCCTCTCACTCACTCCCCTCGCCTTTCTCTACCAGCACTGCAGCACCGCCATCGTCCCCGTCGTCCCCGTTTGCCCATTCCCCACATCAGTCATCACCGCAGCACGAGAACCTCCCCTGGTCACCAGCACAGTGGCACTGCCAGGGTCCCCGTTTACACGGCACCAACATCAGCTATTACCGCAGCACAAGAACCTCCCCCAGCTGCCACCTCCCCCTCCCGCGCCGCGACGGCTGGTCGTTTTCACAGGTACGCCCTGTGCGGGGGAAGGCCTTTCCATTAGTCTCTTAGTTAGGGTATTATTTACTCTTGTTCTTTCTTGCTCAAGCGGGTTCTCCAGCACTGCTGCCCGTCCAACCATGCGTGACGGATACCTCAACGCCCATGCCACCTCCACTCCCCCCGGTGAGCAAAACCCTTACATGTGACAGTACCTCCTTTTCTGAGATGTCTCAAAAGAGATTGGCGAATGGAAGGGTACCACTTGTTTTTCTCTCTTTGAAAAATATACGATACGATACCTCAACACAACGCCCATACCACATCCACTACCCTCTGTGAGGGTACCTTGTACCCTTTCGATTTCCCTTGTACCTCTGCCCACTCCAACCCATCCTCCTTCCAGCCAATGACATGCCTGCTGCATTTCTTTCTCTTGGTGCAGGGGCTCACGGCTGTCTTTGACCAGCACGTGCTTTCAGGCGGCCTTGCTTTCTCCTCCAGCAAGGTGTGGAGGTTTGTTTCTCCCCCCCAAATACCCCATGACCGTGAGCATATGTTACATGCCTTGAACATATGCCACATACCCTGAGCATATGCCACATACCTTGACCATATGCCACATACCCTGAACATATGCCACATACCCTGAGCATATGCCACATACCCTGAGCATATGCCACATACCCTGAGCATATGCCACATACCCTGAGCATATGCCACATACCCTGACCATATGCCACATACCCTGAGCATATGCCACATACCCTGACCATATGCCACATACCCTGAGCATATGCCACATACCCTGAGCATATGCCACATACCCTGAGCATATGCCACCTGACCATATGCCACATACCCTGACCATATGCCACATACCCTGAGCATATGCCACATACCCTGAGCATATGCCACATACCCTGAGCATATGCCACATACCCTGACCATATGCCACATACCCTGAGCATATGCCACATACCTTGAGCATATGCCACATACCTTGAGCATATGCCACATACCTTGAGCATATGCCACATACCCTGAGCATATGCCACATACCCTGAGGATATGCCACATACCCAGAGCATATGCCACATACCTTGAGCATATGCCACATACCTTGAGCATATGCCACATACCTTGAGCATGTGCCACATACCTTGAGCATATGCCACATACCCTGAGCATATGCCACATACCCTGAGCATATGCCACATACCCTGAGCATATGCCACATACCTTGAGCATATGCCACATACCTTGAGCATATGCCACATACCTTGAGCATATGCCACATACCTTGAGCATATGCCACATACCCTGAGCATTGATTTTTGTTCGACTGGCACGTGCTCTCAGGAGACATTTCTTTCTCTTCATCTGCATGTGCTTGTACATATGCATGTGTGCATGTGCATGTGCATGGCAGGGAGCGATGGGTCATTTGTTGGGGGGCCGCAGGGGCAGTGGAAGCAGCTGCACTGTATTTTGTATGATGCTTACTTGCACAATACAAGAGCTGGATAGAATGCCATGACATGAGGGCTGCAGGGGCAGTGAAAGCAGCTGTTGCTGCCATTGCTTTACATCATGTGAGTGTGGCACTGTATTTTCCATGATGCTCACTTGCACAATACAAAAGCTGGATAGAATGCCATGACACCAGGGCTGCAGGGGCCGTGGAGTGGAAGTAGCCGTTGCTGCCATGGCTCTACACCATGTGAGTGTGCTGCCATGGCACTGTTGCTTGACATGATGTGAGTATAGCACTGTGTGTGCTCACATGCGCAGTATCTCCTGCATGTCCCTCCCTCACATACTGCTGTCATGTGAGTGTGGTGTTTTGAGTCGACTCCAAACACGTCACATGCTGCTGTCATGTGAGTATTGCACTGCATTGTATTGCACGCGATGCCCGCATGCTCACATGGCACTGCAGGGGTGGTAGGTATAGAAAAGAAAAACGGATAGAAAGCACCACATGTTACAGTCATGGCATGGCACTTAGAAAAGAAAAACGGATAGAAAGCACCAAGTTCGGTTTGACCGACCAGTGATGACCAATCTAAGTACTAAACTCACTGAGTACAAGGCGAGAACATGTGTAGGTAAGCCTAGCACATTTAATCAGTAGATCACAAGCGGTTCATAGCGTACACCCTGTTCCCATGGCACTGCCGGGGCGGTAGGTAGAAGCAGTTGTTGCAGTCATGGCACTGCACCATGTATGTATGGCATTGTGATGGCACAGACAGATGCTCACATGCTCACTTACTCACATGCTCACATACTCACATTCTCACATGCTCACATGCTCTCATACTCACATACTCACATACTCACGTGCTCACATGCTCACAAGCTCACCTGTTCACATGGCATGAGGGCTGCAGGGGCGGTAGAAGTAGGTGTTGCTAGCATGGCTGCAATTGAGCCCCACTTAGAGGCCATGGGTCAATGCATGGCAGCAAATACTTAGGGGCAGTAGAAGCAGGTGTTGCTAGCATGGCACCGCACCATGTGAGTGTGCTGATATGATTCCAGTCAACGCCAATCTGAGCTATTTTTGACAAGTCTCAAAGAAGGCACTCTGAGCCACGTCACTCAGTCGGCCCCATCACCCTAACCTCGTGGCACCAGGCGACCATGCAGGTTCCTTTGAGTCGACCCAAAAGAGGTGACTTCTGAGTCGACGCAAAAGTCACCCAATCCGCCCCATCACCCAAACCTACTGGCACGAGGCCACCATGCATGTTCCAACCACACACAGTCAAACAATCAGGTGCATCCTTTTGCTCTTCCCCTCCTTCCCTACTCTCAACCACTCCCCACTAGATCTTTTCTCTTCCTCCTGCCACCTGCTATCCAGTGAAGCTTCTTTCCTACAGTTGTCAATCTCCGTCCATTTGCTCCTCCTGCCTGATCCCCTCTCCCTCGAATCTCTACTCCCCAACCCTTCTTCTGCTTGCTTCCTATCCTTTCTTCCCAATCCCTCCTCCGCTCGCCTTCTCCCCCTCCTCTCCAACAACCCCCCCCTCTCCTGCTTCCCCCGCCCCCCACTCTTCAGGGCGTGGTGCTTCCTAACGCAACCACTTCAATTCTTGATTCAACAAAATTTCCTCTCTAACCCCACCTCTGCTACGAGGAAAAGAGGGTTGGAGAGGAAATTAGGAGAGGACATGGTTCAGTTCAGGGTTGGTGAGAAACGCTGGAATGCATGGTATGCGCATATATGATATGCGCATCTAGTGTAGTGGTGTCATAGTACCCTCCCACGGTACTGACCGGGGTTCGATTCCCCGGATGCGCATGGAAAAACTCTGTACATGTTTTGACATGTGTTTTTGCTGTTCCTCTCCCCTTGTTTTATGCTACCCTCACCTTGATCTCTCATATGCACTAAGCAGCAACTGCTAAAGTAGCCCTACTAAGTGCATTGCTGCCCAGGGCAGCTGTACTGTTAATTTTTGCTCCACATCTCCTCTGCTTATTCTATGCTTCCCTCACCTTCTCCTCCCACGTGCACTAAAGCAGCAACTGCAAGTCAACATGCCTCAACTTGCAGTCTCACTTCCTTCCCTGGGAAAGGTTCAGGGATACCGTAAATTCGCATTGCTGGGAGCAATGTGGCGCCAAACAACCATTTCAGCTTCGTCTACTTTTGAGTCGACTCAAAAATGGTACCAGTATCGCTCCCTTCCCTGTGAATGGTTCACGGATACCGTAACTTCGCATTGCTGGGAGCATTGTGGCGCCACCCAACCTTTTCAGCTTCGTCTTTCCCCCTGCTCTTGAGGTGTCCCCATCCTTTGAGGCGCCTCAAAAGTCGCCCTTGCAGTCTCGCTCCCTTCCCTGAGCAAGGTTCAGGGATACCGTAACTCCGAATTGCTGGGGGCAATGTGCTGCCACCCAACCTTCTCAGCTTCTTCCACTCCCCCTGCATCTTATGCTCCCCTCACCTCCTCCCACAGGCCCTAAGCAGCAGCAGCAGCAGCACCTCCTCACATCCTGCTAAATGCATTTCGGAGTGCATTGCTGGGAGCAATGTGGCGCCACCCAACCTTCTCAGCTTCTTCCATCTCCCTGCTCTTGAGGTGCCTCCAAGCCTCCCCATGTGCTGTGCAACCCTTTTGCCTATCCATGTAGTCTCACTCCTTTTCGTTGCTGGGGGCAATGTGGGGCCACCCAAAGTCCTCAGCTTACTCTCTTCCCTCGCTCTTGAGGTGCCACCACCAACCCTTCCCTTATTCACCCCCCTGTTTCTTGCGTGCAAATGCTCTGGTTGGATATTGGGCATCGTACTTGATGTCTCTGTATCAGGAACCTCCATGCCAGGGCAAAGAAGATCCGAACTGCACTCTGAAAAGCAGGAATTCTATGGATTTTCACTGTGAGATTGAAGGCATGTTAACTATTTTGCTGGAGTTTGCCTGGTGGTACCCACAGTATCCCCAACAAAGATGGATGAGGGAATCCACTTGCTGCCACTTCTAGAGGAAGGCACATTTCTGGAGTGCGCACACACCAATCTGATACAGTAGAGGAACTTCGGATATACACACAAAGGGAGTCTATTTTTTAGGCGCCTAAAAAATGGAGTGCGTACACACCAATCCGATACAGTAGAAAAACTTCGGATACTCACACAAAGGGACCTAGGGACATGAAAAAACGTGGAAACTGAAACCAGGACGATTGACATCGCCCACCTGACATTCACCCCTCTCCCGGCCCTTTCCACTCATTCCCCTTCCCCCCACTCACCCCTCATTCCACCTGCCCTTGCACGTTCATTCCTGAATGCCCTTGCATTCACACCTCACAGCATCCGCACTCATTCCTCGAACCCCCCTATGCAGGACCCTCTCTCCCTGTGCCCTCACGAACCATTCCCCCTTTCCCTAAGCCCGTCATTCCCCATATACTTACCCCTCATGCCCCTCCATGCTCTCACCTCATTCCCCCTACGCTGACCCCTTTCTCCCCTGCACCCACCCCACATTTCCCCGCCGCTAACCCCTCCACTCGCCTGCCCTGGCACGTACGCTCCTGATTACCCTTGCGCTCACCCCTCATGCCGTCCGCGCTATGATTTGAGAATTCTCAACGAGTGTTTTTTGAGAATTCTCAAAAAACACTTGATTACCCCTGCGCTCACCCCTCATGCTGTCCACGCAATTACCTTTTTTCCCTTCTATGCTCACCCCTCTCTCCCGGTACCCTCACCCACCATTCTGCATATCCCTAGTAGATCCACCATTCGCCCCCCCCTTCACCTTTCTTTCCCCGAGAAGCCCACTCATGACTCCCCCTTGCCCTCATCCCTCACCATTCCTACACTAACCCCCAATAAATCTTCAGCCATCACCCAGCATTCTCCCTACTCCACACTCATCTTTCCCCAAAGGCCCACCCATGATTCCCCCCTGCACTCATCCATCATCGTTTCTTTCGCACGATGATGGACGAACGTGGTCTCCCAGCGCTCACCCAGCCATCCCCCCCCCGCTCACCCATCTTGGCTCACCCATGATTGTCCACCTACACTCATCCCTCATCATTAGTTTGAGACGCGCGTTATTCTTTCAACACGCACCCAGCAGTCCTCCCCCCTCCCCCCCAACCCCCCCCCCCCCCCCTCTCCCCCCCTCCGCCCCCCACCTCATTGATCTTTTCCTTAGCGCTCACCAATCACTATTCCTAGCATGTGGCGGCTTTCAGTGAGAGCTTTGACTAATCTCGCTACCGGCGGAACTTATGAGCTTTGCCCCAACGAACTTGTTCGCCGGGGCAATAGGATTGCAAGTTCGTTATGGCGCGATCACTGGCATGGCAGAAGGCAATGTTCGAGCAGGGTTTCCAGTCTCATCTTGTTGCGCAATGGCAAATCTTATTGTGCTACCATATGGCCCCGGATAGTAGCGCATATGCGCTTACAATAGATTCATTTTTTTGAAGGGGGGCGCTTGTAATTGAATAACGGCCATAGGCACCGGCGGTTATATGATGACAAATAAGAATTTATATATTTAGGGCACCAAATTGTCCATTTCCTTCTTGCCATTTCAACCGAGTCGAATTGTTTTAGCGTCACTAAGCAGAATCTCGCGCAAGCGATATTTTGGGTTCACACACAGGCAAAGACACGTCATGCCAGCACATCCTGACTGGACGCGCAGCCAGTCAGGTCTTCGCGAGTCAAACGAAGCGAAATTGAGATCCGACTCGCTGCAAAAATGTATTTTTTTACCGTTTTAAGCAAGAATTTATATTAAAATTGCACGTGCGCTTATAATAAGTAAAGGTTTTCTAGGGGGGACACTTATAATTGAGGATCGGCCATAAGCGCCATGCTTCAGATATAAGCGCCGGCGCCTTTAATAGGACGGCGCCTATATCCGGGGCCATTCGGATACATGCGAGCTTCTCTACTGAGCACCGGAGGTCCTTGGGGCAAGATACCGGTAATTTTAGGGGTACACAGATTGTACGCAACCAGAAACCCGATGCTTTAGATGTTTGCAGATGCCAATTTCCGCCAGCATTGAATTCTGACTTGAATATATATAAAGTAAGATTTGTTGAAGGCACAGGTGCTATTCTTAGTCTTGTGTCGTGACTGAGGGATATTTGGCAGCCACTTGTTGTCATAACATGTGGAGATCCTGAACAGAGAACGGCAGTAGGAAAGAGGAGCAGAGAAAGCAACCACATCTTGACTTCAATCGAGCAGATGAAGCCAAAACACATGTATGGTCATTGTTCACTGGCGGGAAGCGATTGTTTCACACTGACACCAGAAACACAAGCCTTGCACCCAGGGCTGACGTTTCATTTTAAGCCTCCCTGATTCCCGGGAAAATCCCCCCCCTGTATTATGGGTGTATATTTTCCACAGATAGGCTACTCTGATTGCTCAGTGTTGAAAAGTAGTTAACTCTGATTGCTCAGGGTCGAGAACTGAACATCAATGTAGTAACGCGCGCTGTATTTAACGGGGACAAAAGTTTCACCCCGCAGGATTCCATCACAACGCGACATCATTTCGTGCACACCTCGTGCGCTTTACTTTCTTACCCGTTACTTCGATAAAATTTGTATTTCTCCATACGTTTTAGCGCGGGGAAGAAACGAGCAGTTTCGGTCCACCAAACAGTTCGGTATCAAAGATGTGCCAAGATTTCCTATTCGCTGATTACTCGCAATTCGCCAACTTCATTGTGCGAAACGCAAAAAATGTGTTGATAACTTCACGCACACGTAATTGCGACAATACGACCGACATCTTCGACTTCTGTAACACTAACATACGTAGAGTGTATTCACCTGTCAGACATGTTGCCGCGCGGTGCTCACGCTGTTGCAGTACTACGACCAATCCGAAGGCGGGGTTATCGGAAGGAAATTTCAGAGTCCACAGAACGCGTACTCTACATTGACAGAGTCAGTAAGAACACGAGCCTAGATACAATATTTCAGGGTTCGCTAAAGCACTATTCTGAATGGATCAGTGTTCACAAGTCATAAATTCTGAAATTTCAGGGACCACCATGTGAGAAGCCCGTAATCATCCTGAAATCAGGGTAATTACCCTGATAAAATCAGCCCTGCTTGCACCTACCCTATTACTCTGTGGTAAACCTAGTCATCACTCTTCTCCACTCCTCTCCACCACACAGCAACTATTGAGACCTACACCAGCTATTAGCTTCTACTGTACCTCTATTCCTCTGTGCTCGCTGCTGTCCTTGCTCTCTCACCTTGCCACTCACCTTGCCACTGTTGGTCCCACTCTTCTTCCCGCTGGTCTTGCATGGGCATGTGAGCTTGTGGGAGGGCCAGTGCGTCTTTTGGCACTCTCTGCTGCAATACGTCACCTTGCCACAACCACCGCAATTCCTCAGCTTTACACCACCGCCCCCTACCCTGTCACATCCCTCAGCACCGCACGGATACCCCTCGTAAGCAGCATGACCAGAAGCTTTTGAAACCGAAGCTTGTGCACTTGCATGGTTTGGTACTGCAGCAATGGCCTTCACAGTAGGATGGGTGGAAGAAGCAGCAGGGGAGGCAGGGCGGTAGCACGGCTCCCCCAGCAGCATCTCTCGCAGACATGCAAGCAGGTTGGTCCCCCCTGGCCATGGCTTCAGATATGCCGGCACCTCCTTCTTGCCCTTCCCCTCTCTGTTGTTGTCATTAGTGCCTCTGCTGCCACTACTGCTGGCACAGCTACCCCTGTTGTTGCTGCTGCTGCTGCCACCGTCGCCGCCGCCGCCGCTGCTGCCACTGCCACCAACACTACTTGTACCCGACCCATCCTGGCCATCCAGGTCAGCACATAACCTTGTCTGTGTTGCCGCCCGGAACATGTCAATCATCATCTGCCCGGTGACCTCCTCCCTCTGCGGTTCCGTGCTGCCCTTGCAGTCCAAGCTGAGCCCTGCAGAGATTGACGCAGGGTCGTACCACTTGCGTCCGTCCCTCACACTTGCAGGCCAGGCCATCACCGCTGTGGCGCACCACGAACGCACCTCCTCCCATGCCTTCCAAACATCCTCCTCATTCTCCTCCTCTCCCTCTTCCTCTTTCCCCACTCCGTTTCTTCCACTCCCTGCCCTGCGTCCTTTTGAACTTTTCTGCTCACCCACCCTCCCCTTAGCTCCCAGTCGCCCGTGCACCATGGCAATCTCCCTGGCCCATTTCAGAGCGATCACGAGCAGCAGGAGCAAGGGCAGCTTTTCCGCAAGATCACGAACCTCACGCAGGTGCAAACGGATAGGCAGGTATGAGCAGGCGGGGTCGTACAAGCACAGCGCGTCTGCTAGCTGAGTGATCTCCAAGGAGGGCGGTGGAAAGACATAGACGAAGCGGTTGAAGAGAACAGAGGCGGGAAGGTACGCGAAGTTGGCAACGACAGCAGCAAAGGGAATGGCGGATTTGTACCGGGAAAAGCACGATGCGCATTCGGCACACGCTGGCGGAGGAAACAACCTGCTGGCGACGTCTACAATGAAGTCTATATCCGCCCTACAGCGAGCAATGGGAAGCTCTTTCCTAGAAGTCAGCATCCCGCCTACAGGTGTTGGAGCATTGATGTGGCTTCTCAGGGAGCGACCACCCCAGTTGCTCCTTCCGCCCCTTCCACCTCCCTTATGGCTGGTTGCCCCCCTTCATCCGCCACTTCGTCCCCTCCCACCCTTGCACTTGCTGCCTTCTCCTCGTCTTGGTGCCTTTACAGATGTTTGCTCACTGCCCTCACCTTGCTCCTCTCCATCCTCTCTTGCCTCACTCTCGGCACTCGCTTCACTCTCCTCTCTCTCCTCACTCTCCTCCACGATTCTCAGTCCAAAGAATCTTGCATTCGGGTCATCAGGAAACTTCATGGCATCT